GCGTCGTTTATCATAACTTATCGTATATCTAGATAATAATGAAAATAACGTTTAAGTATTCTTTTATATTTCGCACCTTTTCATTCTCCTTTCTGTCATCTCTATTTTCGCCTGACATGGCAATTTTGATTTAAACGTGACTAGACTTAACTCAACTGTACAGTTCGCAGTACTTTTGAACAATGCAAAGCATCATGTGAAAGTACCGTTGTAACTTATCCCCGCTTCATCGACGGCCTTCCACGTGGATAGGCATAGGACCGCCTTCCAGTCTTTGGAAAGAAAACCGGTTTCTCTTTACACGATTACAATCTCCATCGCAGATTATGACATTTATAATTACCGACAGAATTATATACAATAAAAAAACTTATAACAATATTAATCATGAAATAACAAAGAATTGCAAAATACACATGTGCAAATGAACGTACAATCAGTAAATTATTTTTAAATTAAGTATTTAATTTTGATTGTACAATTGATTTTTCAATATGTTAATACTATTTTATTATTGATTATATATTAAAATAGTCTAATAACATTATAATTTTAATTTCTGCATTATATTTAATTAATTATAGTTCAATGTAATATATATAATTGATTTTTGATTCGAATATACAAATCTGATTTTTTTTAGTTTTATATGTATGATTTATGATTTATTTTTATTCATACATTATTTTATTATTATTAAGATAATCCAAAATGTTTAAAGTTATTAAATATATAAATCTAACTTATATTTTCTTATGTTTCATGTTTTATTTCGAAATTTAAAATTTTGAATAAAGTTTATTTTTGCACATATAAGAGTAAATACATATATATATCCGCTCTCTACAATAAAAATTTTTAATTTTATTATTTTGCTAGATGAGTAATAGTGCATACTAATATGTTGTTAATGTATCTCATTAACATAATATAAATATAATATAAAAAAGTTAAATATGTTCGAAGAGAATTGAGTTTAAATACGCTTTCGAAAAAAGTAGTCACGTGATTTTAATATTGGCGCCATAGAATTTATTCATAATTCCGCTTTCCGCTTCCGGTCTTTTGCATCGTGTGTTCTTTACTTTGTCGACTCGTTCTGAGCAGTTCGAAGTGTGTAAAAAAACACGTGTAGACATGGGTTTCCAGAATATTTGGTATTCTCATCCACGAAAATACGGTCAAGGATCAAGATCCTGGTCAGTATAATATTCTTTTTGGGTTTTTAGCTTTTATTAACAATTAATTTATATGATAGACAATAGAGTTGAGCGATCGCATGGTGATCACCATGAATGTCATATTAGGCATAAAAATGTTATAATTAGAGCAGAAAATTTGATAAACTAATTAAAATTTGAAGTAATTTCAATATATTTATATATCGATGTTAATTATTAATATTGCTTTTGTAAGATGTCTACAAAATATACATACTAACCTCAAAAGTATCATGTGTTAAGTCGCACTGTAGTTATTTTATTTAATACTTTGTTTTACTTATTTTTTATATATTTTTCCTCTTTTTTTCCATATTTAAATTTTAAATTATTTTAAAACTTAAAACAATTGTGTGTAAAGTTTAGAAGATATTAAATAAATTTAATATTAATTCTAATATATATTAGATAAATGTACATATGTGTGTATTAAATAAAATTGATTTTATTGTAGCCGTGCCTGTGCAAATAGACATGGGCTTATTCGCAAATATGGCCTGAACATCTGCCGGCAGTGCTTTAGGGAATATGCCGCTGACATTGGTTTCAAGAAGGTAAATATCTGTTGACATATTCAATATACATTTAATATTTGTCGTTTATCTTATTATATTATAAGAAAAATAATGCAGCTAAATAATATCCTCTTTTTTGTTTTACAGCTGGATTAAATATACAAGAACATAGAAAAAATTGAAACAATTTAATCGATACACCTATGTCTTCAACATCAGCACTATCTTAGAATTACGGTGGAAAACAAATACAATGCTATTGTAACAATTGGTATATCCAGCACTCCATGCGATGTTCTTAAAATAAACATCCTTATGTTCTTGTAATTTCCTGTATTTTATCATATTCTATTTATCCTTTTAAGTAAATTTTTTTTCTATAAATGTAAAAATTTTCAGTACGGTCGAGAGAAGAATTTTACCTTTTGTAAAAATTTTTATAAATATGTAACAACTTGGAAAACAATCTATCGTTATTGAAAAGTACTATTTATAATCATAAGTGTTACATATTAATAGAATTAACAAGCTGATTACAAAGAGAGAAATTGCATATGCATAATTTATCAGTAAATAATTTATTTGAAATTGCATTTTTAGAAATTTAATGTTCTTTCTAATTTAAGCGTCCTTTCCAAAAATTAAAATGTTGAAAATTGAAATTGCAAAAAGGATCAATTTTGCATTCATATTCGCAATTGCAAAAAATATTGGCAGCACTGCAGCAATGGCGGAAAATCACATAGGTTACGTTTGACGCTGCAGTATAATCGTGCGTGTCCCTCGTCCAAAAAAATAACGCGGACCAACACATGGAGAGAACGATGTCGGAGCAAGCGGCTTTGCAAACGCAAACGGAAACCATCTCCGAGGCGGATGTCACTGACTCCGGGTCACAGGTATGCACATTCGTTGTTACATCTTCATTTACGTATGTGACGTTTATTACTCGCTCATCGCGAGGACGGTGAAAAATCGTCGATGGTGACGTTATTTACAGAATGCAAATAATTATTCTTCTTACCTCGCTTCTTGTCACATTTTAATATCCCCTCCAATATCATACGATTCAGCATCTCGGTGGAGTAAGAACATCTTTATCTTATCTTAAACATAAAAAGTAGAGCACATACTCTTCTCTACTCCGATATACATAATTAAATTTAATATCCTTACGACGAGGTTATACAAATCATTTCTGGTTTCGTGCTTCAAGTGTCAACGATGATACGTAACGTGTTTACGGGTTTCTCGCGAAAGCTCGCGGGCGAGAGACTTTTGACAAGTGAGTACCACTTGAAGAAGTGCGAACGTGAGTTTTGTCAAACGAACGTCAAGCACGATCGTTCCCCGTTGAACGGGATACGGGTTCTAGATCTGACACGGATCGTCGCCGGGCCTTACTGCACGATGATTCTGGGAGATCTCGGCGCGGAGATCCTGAAGATCGAGCGACCTGGTGCTGGAGATGAGTCGCGCAAGTGGGGTCCGCCCTTCTTCGAAGGAACGCAGGAATCGACCTACTTCATGAGCGTGAATAGAAACAAGAAGAGCGTTTGTATCGATCTGAAGAGAGGTAAAGACATCATCTATGAGCTGACGCAAACTTGCGATGTCCTGGTGGAAAATTACGTACCAGGAAAACTGAGCAGCATGGGCCTAGGATATGAAGACATAGCCAAAGTAGCTCCACATCTTATATATTGTTCGATGACTGGCTACGGATTCAAGGGACCTTACGCAAATAGACCTGGCTACGATGTCATTGCTGCTTCCCTAGGTGGACTTTTGCACATTACTGGATCTAAAGATGGACCGCCATGCAAGGTTGGTGTAGCAATGACAGATTTAGCAATGGGATTGTATGCTCATGGAGCAATTATGGCAGCTTTGCTGCAAAGAAGAGAAATAAACCAAGGCCAGTGGATACAATGTGATCTTTTGTCGACTCAAGTTGCCAGTTTGATCAACATCGCTTCAAATTACTTGAATGGAAATAAGGAAGCAACAAGACGGGGATCTGAACATGAGAGCATAGTTCCTTATGAAGCTTTCCCGACGAAAGATGGATATATGACAGTTGGAGCAGGCAGTGATTTGCAATTTTTAGAGTTAATTAAGAGATTACAATTACCAGAACTCATTAATAATAATAAATTTAAGAATAATGCTGCTAGAGTTAAGAATAGAACGGAATTACTGCAAATTCTTCGAGATGCATTTAAGAGGAAAAAAAATCAAGATTGGTCTGTGATATTTGAAGGTGCTTCATTTCCTTATGGAGTAGTGAACACTATAAAAGAGGTAAATGAATTGATTTAAAATAATCTCAAATAATTTTGATTATTTACAACACATATGCAAAATTGCATCCTCTTAAACTTGGCATATCATTTTCAGGTGTTTGATGATCCCCATGTAAAACATACAAAATTGATTAAAGAATTAGAGCATCCAGTTACAGGGAAAGTGAAACTTGTTGGGCCACCTGTGACATATAGCTATGCCACCAACAGAGTGAGATCATCACCACCAATGTTAGGACAACATACATCAGAAATTTTAAGAAATATATTAAAATATTCGGATGATAAAATAGAAAAGTTAATAGCACAAAAAATTGTGCAATAATTAATGAACATGTATTTAATCTTTTCTATGCAATTTTATATGTAACACTTATGCAACAAATTTTAATTTAATGATGTTTGAAGAAACTCTACTTTGTATGCATATATATATTATAAACATTATATATAATAACCATTACATTCTCAGATAATACAGTTTACAAATTTTATATATATATATATATATATATAACACTTATATTTTATAAATATAATATATAAATAAAATAAATATAATATAAATATAATATAATATAAATTTTATAAATATAATATATTTGTATGTATATGTGCCACAAACTTGGTATAAAAATATTATAAATAAAAAATATTAAATTTTTGAGTATATTTTATATTCATTTTCTATAATAAATATTTTTCAATTAATTGTGACAATATTTTTGTGATTACTACATGTAATTTAAAGTGCAATTAATTATTAGCTTTATTATAGTTTAATAAATTTTCATAATTTTGTTTTATAGGATGTGCCTACTGTACGATTACGTTTACGAAAACCAAAATCGAGCAAAAAGGTTCAATGGACTGAAGGAACTGTTGATAATGAACATCTAAATAAGAAAAAATCAAAATGTTAATATTTATTTCTATAAAATTTTCTAGATTTATTCAAAATGTAAAAATTATATAATCTTTTTTAATAACAGGTTGTTGTATTTATGAGAGACCAAAAACTTTTGGTGAAAGTAGTTCCGAAGATAGCGATGATGAATGTGAACATTGTCATGGACATAAGGATGCTCATAAGAAAGTCTTACCTACAACTGGAAATGCCCATCAAGATGGAATGTCATCTCATCCTGGTAACTTTTTATAATAAATCTAGTAGTAGTATTAGTAACTTAATTACTAATGCATTTTTATCTCATACTGTTTGCTTTGCTTACAGAACCTATTGCAACAGGTTCAGCATAAATATACCCATATACCCATTGAAAACTCTGCTAAATGGAAAATAAATTCCTTTATGTTGTTTCTCAAGTCAGTATCATACAAAAGAAATGGCGGATTGTAGGTAAGTGATTATATAACTTATAATATATAACAAGCAGTAAATCAAATTAAACAATACAATGATTTTGTGAATCGTTACAATATATCCTTTTAGGTGTACAAACTATAAATATGATTCTGCACTAATACATGTGGCATTTTTATTATAATGCTTTAACGATATCGCATGGAAGCAATGTTCAAAATTGTTGGTCTATGTAGATCGTATGTGATATCATAAGAATAGTAAATTATTGAATATTCTCTGAAAAATAACAATCATTCCTTAAATGTTTACATCCGAATCACTTTTTTCATATGTACTATTTGCTAATAGTTTTAGATTTTATGTTAAAAGAAAATATATATTACTTGTTAATCTGTGACTTTTATTAACATTCCACATTTAATTATAATAGATTTTTTAATTATATTAATTTTTTATATATTTCATAATTACTAAATCAAATTTGAACTTGTAACAAGAACATTGGAAATATCTCCAAATTTGTTCGTTTTTGTGGAAGATTTATTATATTACATTTATAATTTTATATTATAATTATACACCATACAAGATCAAAAAATGAAATGTATGAAAAAATGATATAAAATAGTGCACATTTATATCCATTCATTATTTCCTTTGTTTAGTACAAGTATAAGTAGACGAAATAAATATTTCAAATTATAGCTAAAAATATATAGAATAAATTAAAAAATTTAGTATTACAGATCACATACATGTGTGAACAGAATTATAATCATGAAAAACTTAATAATCATTGCACACACACAGTGAAGGTTCCAATTTTACAATTTTATCAGAAGATAAATTCTATAAGGCTTAGAGTTCCATTTGCAGAAGCTATATCAATAAACTTTAACCTGACAATTTAAAAATAGTTTGATGATATTCTTTAATATTTAAATAATGTAATTTTAATTTTTTTTAATTAGATATTTTCTAATTTTAACAATAGATAATAATTCTTTGCGATATTCATTCTTTTAACAACATTTTTAGTAACTCTTTCAAATAGTACTCATCTGGTGAGATTCCAGATTGTATTACATTATAAGAAATAAAAGTCTGCACGTGCGTTTGTGTGCATAAATCCCAGGCAATCAAAAAATAGATTGATTATTTGTGCTTTTACATGATAGTAGTATTTTGGACGATTTTGTATACAATTTAACTTAAGTGCAGAATATATCTCTAGAAATCTTGTAAAAATAAATGTTTTAAATTGGAAATTTAATAGTTTTTAGTCAGTCGATATTATTACTGCTTCTCTGAAACCTACGTCTTTTTCGCACTTCCATCCCTCTACGATAAGAATTTTCATCTAAACCTAAAGCCTTTACCATAGCCCGACTTCGCCATATTTTAACTGTATAATCATCACTGGTTGTAACTAACATTTCAGGATCACGTGGATTAAAAGCTACGGAATTAACTACATCGGTATGAGGAAATTTTGCTAAACAAATTCCATAATGTCTATCCCACAAGTAACCATGTTTGTCTTCTGCACCGCTGTAAACAAAGATATTTAATAATTAATCTTAAACGACTTGACTACGACGTAACTAGCAATTTTATTTGATTATTTCACGACGTTTCGACCATTTGGTTGTGGTCCTTTTCAAGTGAAATTTCATCAATTAAACCGAGATTAACATAACATCACACCGGTGTTATTTGAAATCGAAAGTTAAACGTTAAAAGAGGAACACGTCCCATCGTTATGATGTTTCGTCAACAACATCATAACGATGGGACGTGTTCCTCTTTTAACGTTTAACTTTCGATTTCAAATAACACCGGTGTGATGTTATGTTAATCTCGGTTTAATTGATGAAATTTCACTTGAAAAGGACCACAACCAAATGGTCGAAACGTCGTGAAATAATCAAATAAAATTGCTAGTTACGTCGTAGTCAAGTCGTTTAAGCTTATTTTCACCACTAGCGACAAATATTAATTTTGATTGATATTAATTTTAATTAATAATTAATCTTACATATTTTTTTAGAAATATAAAATTTTTTGTTAAATTAAATTGATGAATTATGTAAATGCAAGTCGAATTATCATTACCTTGCTACATATTCGTTACACACGTCCAAAAATATAAAGAAACATTCGTTATTAGGTGTATACGCCTTGTGTGCTCTTAACATTGTACCAACTTGTTTTAATGTTACCAAGTCAATCACGTGTATATCAATTTCTTGTGCTATCGGTGGTGGTTGTAAAGGATTAGTAATAACATAACCCTTTGGCCATGGCCTTGTATTTACATAAAGATATCTGTATGAAAACGTATGTGTAATTAACAACGCTTCAAATATATCATCTTATGATATGATAATACTGATAACTGACCTATGATCAGGAGAAAGTCCCATTCCAATGATGTGACCGTGAAGATCAATCAAATGATCTATCTTATCGAATTTGTCTGCTACAGATGCATAATTTAACCAATCTTCTACTGACGGAGTATTTTGTCTCTCTCGCTCCCTTTCCCGCTGAGCTATTCTCTCGCGTAGCGATGGTCCCGGGTCCAATCTTCTCGGGAAACTAACTAATTTAATTCTTTTAAAACCAACTTTATGCGGAGTATATGTTTTGGAGCCAGTTGTAAATATAAGAAACTTTTCTGGATTATTGGCTAACTCATCAGTATCACATTCTTCGGTTATTGAAGATTCTGTAAATTTATTTTTTTTTTTTAATCATATTTTATACAATAATTATAACGATCGATTTTTTACTACTATGCATTACGCGTGCGTAATTTTTCTACCTCCAGACTCGCTCTCTTCTTCCCACAATGGATTCTCACTTTCGCTGTCGCTTTCATGCGCCTTCCGCTGCATCTCAACTTGCCTATATTCCTGGTTGTATTGTATAGGACTAGCATATTCGAAACCGTCACCAAGTTTTCTCCAATTCGAAAAACCACCTTCTAATTTACTATATCTATCATACATAAATATACATTACATAAATGTTAATCATTTAATAAATAATAAATTTATTATAATGTCAAACAGGAATAAATTAAACATACTGTAATCTCGATGATGCATGGTGTAGCACTTCTGGTTCTTCCTGCTGTTGCGAGCTACTAGGTTCGTTTGAAGGTGACAACAAATCCTTGTGACTTGGCGGATTTCCTTTTTCCTCCTTTGTATTTGAGGAGGACGGTTGGCTTTGTTGTTCTGTAGTTTCAGCTGGTGCAGGCGCTAAACAATTTGCAACCATAATTGCTCTAATTGAGGAAGCATTTCCATTGTAGAATCTGAGAACAATTACAGATTTGTGAAAAAAAATGATTTTCGACAACTATTTATGTGCTCCATTAGAATTAACATTAAAAATGAAGAAAGCATATTAAATGTAACTTTACCTAAAAAGTTGAGTCATGATGGGGACATGTTCACTAGCTGATTCCTGGTTTGCCTTATTCAGCCAAACTATACTAGTACTGACCAAATGTGCCAACCAATGCAGATTTCCGCTTAAAAGGTAACGCTCACTGTACCATGTACCAAATATGTCATACGGCTTATTCACTACTCTACATTGAAGGTCAAAGCCAGCTACGAATAAACATAAAGCATATATAAGAAATTATTTGAATAAGAATTGAAGCCTTTTATTTAAAATATGTCAAAAGATAACTTATTATCTTCTTATTTAAGATTTATCAATTTACATAATTTTCTTCAAAATTTTTTATTTACTTACGTGCTACTTTAAAGACTGCTATTTCTCCCGAAGTACTATGGGGTGTACCAAAATGTACACCAGAAACAAGAAGTAAGGTATCTGTACAATTAAACTGTGAAAATTGTGTATATTTCCAACTAAATGTTTTCATATCGTGTAAATATTTTATAGTAACAGGATATTGACTTTGCCATACCTGAAATAATAGCATATTTGTAATACTTGATATCTGCAAGAGAAAATAATAAGTATAAACGACAGAAAAAAGCTTACAAGAATATATCCATCTTTTGAACAAGTTGCAAACATTTTGCCATTATGGGAGAAGCTCACATGTAAAACTTGATGTGAATGTTCCTTGAGAATTTCAGTTTCTATCAGTGGAGTGTGATATGCCAAACGTTTAAATTCTCCCAACCAAGAAGTTTTACCTAAGAGAGAAAGAAAGTTAATAATAATTACTAATATTCTTTTAATCAAGAGAGATGTATAAAACATAAAATGTAATATATTAATATGTATGTGTAAATTAATTAATGTAAAATATTATTCTCTCTTCCATTAAAATATTTATGAAATATATGTCAAAAGATGTACACAAAATTAGATATATGTATTATTGCTAATAAGGATATCATACATAATATACAGATACAAAAGAGGTCATTAGACAGACATCAAAACAGTGAGAATTGTCATAAATTTTAATGAGTATGTAAAAACAATTCTCAATAAAATTATTATAAACTCATTTAAGAGTTTAATCAAAGCTCATTTAAGCTCTGTCTGATATACTTCCAAATAATTACTTTTTATCATTTGTTCTTAGTATTCATTATCTTTATATGTATTGTCTTATTATCTTTTTATATATGTATTATATAAAAAATAATTATCTAATTTAACTAAACTGAGTTTTTTCTTGTGGTTCAAATAATTGTTCAAACTGAATAACACAATAAGTGAATCACACAAAAGAAATTATATTTTTGATCCATCTCACGCATGTAATATGCAACAAAGTATATTTATATTTTCAAATCACACACGCACACATACATATATATACATAAATAAATATGGTGACGTCGAAAATACTACTGCTGTACGAAACAAACCTGGCACGATGCCGACGTCCGGATCTATCTTGTACGTACGATAAAATAAATATTTCCATAGGAACTCGTCGCGCGACACCCTATGCCAGGAACTGCACACTTCACCCGCGATCGTCAACTCCTTCGGGCTCAGGTACTGGAAGATGCTCAGGAGAATCGAGTCTGGCATGTAATACCAATTGACGTCGCCCTCGCTTTGCTGTGACAAGCACTCGCTATTGTTATCCGACTCGCTGACATCCTCGTCAGCTGATTGACGATCCCGCGCGACGTCGTCGTTCTCGATGCCGTCCATCGTCCAAACGCGGCGGTTTATTTACTGGAACAGCTGATATCTGTCAGCGACTGTGCAGTCACTACGCAGCCGAGGATGCACGAACTCGACCGAGGTTAGAATCTCGTCACGCGGGCGATCCTCGCATCACGGAGCCACAGATTAATAGACAGATCGCCAAAGGTCTGGATGAAGGAGAGACCAGCATTTCTCACTGATTTCAGCGCCATATCGTAGTAGTGGTCAATGCAGTAACTATTAATACGTTCCCAAGATAAGAGCGTCTCATGCTCATGAACTCGTCCGGCGGCATGTACGAGATTTATCTTTTCGTAGCGTTCGCGTATTTCGGAAAGGACAGAATTTTATGATGTTATAAATAAATAAATAAATAAATAAAATATTAACCTGATCTATTATATTTATTTTTTAATAAATGTTTCATTATTATTATCATCTAAGTCTAAGTCGTTTAATTAATTTTTAGTTTTTTAATAATTAATTTAATTTATTCTAATCATTTTAATATGTGAAAAATACTAATACGTATACGTTTTATAATGAATTAATATATTTCGAGAGTCGAATTATATATTTTTAATAATATAAAAGTGTTCAAAAATTATATTTGATTTTTAATTTTAATTATTTTTAGCAAAGAGTTCCGAAATCTCTTACACACATAATAGGGATTTTGTTCATCCATATAATTCGCAATTAAGTATATATGTTAATTATTAATTTTAATAAAATACAAAATTAAAATTAAAGGTCAAATATAATTTTTGAACATAAATATATTTAATTTGTTATAAAACGTATACCCGTGATAGTATTTTTCTCGTACAAAAATAACTAGAATAAATTAAATTACTCATAAAAAAATAAAAAAATAATTAAATAATTTATATTTTATATGATAATAATAAAACATTTTATAAAAAAAACAGATTTAATAAATATAAGTATATATATAACATGTACTTATATTTATTGAATCTGTTTTTTAATAAAATGTTTTATAAGCTTAGAAAACTTGACTTTGACGTAACTAGCAAATTTTATTTAATTATTTCACGACGGTTTGACGTAATAAAATGTTTTATTATTATTATATAAAATATAAGTTTAAATTCTTTAATTAATTTTTAATCTTTTATGATTAATTTAATTTACTCTAATTATTTTTGTACGAGAAAAATACTATCATGGGTATACGTTTTATAATTAATTTAATATATTTATTGTGTTTAAAAATTATATTTGACCTTTAATTTTAATTTTTATTTTATTAAAATTAATAATTAACATATATACTTAATTGCGAATTATATGGATGAAAAAAATCCCCATTATGTGTGTAAGAGATTTCGGAACTCTTTGCTATAAAATAATTAAAATTAAAAGTCAAATATAATTTTTGAACACTTTTATATTATTAAGAATATATAATTCGATTCCCGAAATATATTAATTCATTATAAAACGTATACGTGATATTATTTTTCTCATATAAAAATGACTAGAATAAATTAAATTAATTATTAAAAAACTAAAAAGTAATTAAACGACTTAGACTTAGATGATAATAATAATGAAACATTTTATTAAAAAAAGATTCAATAACTAGTAGGTCAGGTTATAATTTTTTATTTATTTATTTATAACATTATGAGCTATTAAGCTCATCATCTCGTTTGCTCTCTGTCTTGCTTTCATTCGGCAAGTCACAAACGATATATGATACTCGTATGTTCCTACTTCAACTCTCGAGAATCTGAAACAAACGAAACTCGTGTCCAATATACAGGGTGTCCGGTAACTAACAGACCAATGATTACAAATGGATTCTTTGGTCAATTTGGGAACGATTTTTCCTCAGCAAAAATGTCGAAAAAGGTCATCATTTTTTACAACTTTCCAATCTTTGTCATTATGTATCTTTATAACTAAGCCTTAAATTAAAATTTTATTATAGTAAACTCTACCTGAAATTAACTGAAGAATGTAATTATGTTAGACTTTTAACTCCAAAACGTTTAGTTTTCAAAAAACCTATTTTTTTCAATCGCTTATAACTCGAAAATTATTGACTTCTCAACATTTTTGCTAAGGAAAAATCGTCTCCAAATTAGCCAGAGAATCCGCCCTTAATCATTGGTCCGTTAGTTACCGGACACCTTGTATATATTATATAAAAGTGTATAGCACGTCAGAAGCTTGTGAGCTTACAGCGATAAGTAAAAACAATTGCGTATTTATTTCATTGCGTTTATCTGTTTAAACGCGCGCTTTAATTTTTCCAACGTTTTTGCCTGTTTATATTTTAAAGGTCCTCTCTTCTAAAAATCTTGTTTTAAAGATCCTCTCCGCGAGCAAAATTCGAAAACATAAATTATTTAAATTTAATAAGGAAAACAATTAGATATTTAAAGACAAGGCTCGTGTGATATTATAAAATTAAGATTTAGAAAGACAGGGCCAACTATAACGAGCATATTAAATTAGTGAGAGATGTAATGTCAACACATAATTGATTTATTTCTTAGTAGATACAATGATAATAAAAATAATAAAACGTTTCGGCTGTTACCTCAGCCTTCTTCAGTAAATATAAAAACAATAAAAATTCTCTTAAGAAAAATTATGACATATTACGCATTAGAGTCTATTTTTTAATGAACATTTTGGTTTAATAAGTCGATGAATTTAAATTGGGTTACGCTTATAACATTTATTAAATTAGATATTTTTTCTAATCGGCTAACCATTTTTTAGTTAAGATGGTAAACTTTTTGATTATGTCAAAAAACATGTAAACGAGTTCCCTGTTGTTAGTAGAACAGGTTGACGGCCCATTCCACGTCATCAATTCTTTTGAACATTATTAGTTAAAATTATCGTCAGAACCGCTTGATATGAGAATTGAAAACAATTAGATGTTATCCAGCATCAAAAAGTTAGTCCCCATCATCAAGGATATTTCCGAGTAAGTTCGTCATTGCAGTATATTTCACCGTGATTGTCTAAGTATATTTTTATTTTTTTGGTATATTAATTTATATTAATAAGTTATTTTTTTTATGTGAAAGATCTTAATTGTGTTTAGAATTGCTTACTTAAATTGATGAGTAGTCAAGATTCCGCCAAGTTGATGTGTTCACTATACAAAGTCACATAAATTATTTAATATTTTTACTTTATTATTTGTAAATCCTCGGTAATTTCAAAATTTTTCTATTTGAAAATTATTAATTTTCTATTGCCAATTAATTGTATCACAGACTTTACTCTTACTCCCATTGCACTTTCGTTTGCGGTTTTCAGTATACGATTTTTTATCGTAGTTACTGAAAATTATTATTGTGAATTATACTTGTGCAGTGATTTGAAGAATTTACAATTTCGTTGAAATTGTTGATTTTTCAAAAAAATTACGAGATTCGCGGAAATTGCGTGCTTTCTTGGCATTTTCCGTTCGCGGCAGGCGGTTTATTTTTGATTGTTGCAAGTGTTTTTGTTTTCTTTTTTATTAAAATAGATAATAATAATGTGAAATAAATCACGATATTTGACAGATGTGCATATATATAGAAATTGTAATAATAATAATATTATATCATAAAATTGTAAATTGTTTCAATTTTTTATAGACTGCGATAAAAGATTTTACATTTGGATAAGAAACTGCGGTAAGTAAAAATATAAAATTCTTGAAAACGTAAAAATATTTGATAACGTAAAAAGGTGAACTTTGAAAAATAAGAAACTTAAAAATTGCACTAATAAATGGGTTATATATATGTGAGCCGTGCGCGGATGTAAGGTGTGTTATATCGAAATTTAATTAATAGAATTGAGAATTAATCCCAATTTTAAGTCTTACAAATGTCCAAGCTAATTTTTTGTACCTCGTGTACATTTTTGAAAGTTATATCGAAAAATTAAATTTTAATATGCGTCTTACATCTCACATTTCGCATACGGCTCACATATAGCCTATTTATCTCTTATACTTTATTTCAACCCTTATAGAAATTTATTACTAGTAACGCCAATTTATTACTTATTTCGAGTAATTAATCACTTTTATTTCGAATACTTAAATTACTGTATATTATAGTATTTTAAATACTCAAAATAAGTGATTAATTGGCGTAGTGATAAATTTCTACAAGAGAATAAGGAGCCTTTAAATTCTTAATGTAAAAAATTTCAAGTAATTTTCTTTAATAAAATTTAATTAAAAAATTTAATTAAAAAATTTTTGAACACTGTGTTATATCACATTTAAAATCGTGATTATTTCAATAAAAAAACATTTTATGTGTAAAAAATATATTTTTTATATTTAATAAATTTTTATATATATATATGCATATATGTAAAATATCTCTCTCTCTCTCTCTCTCTCTCTCTCTCTCTCTCTCTCTCTCTCTCACACACACACACACACACACACACACAACGGGGGCCAAATCTCTCAAATTGGTCTCATGATCAATTAGCCTGGATTCGCACCAGGGGCAAAGTCTGTTGGTAATGTCAAACGAATTTAGCCTGGACTTGCACCAGGGGCAAAGTCTTTTGGTCGAGTCTACGAAATTTAGCACGGACTCGAACCAGGGGCAAAGTCTTTTGGTTCAAGTCTACGAAATTTAGCACGGACTCGAACCAGGGGCAAAGTGTGTCGGTAAGGGGCAAAGTCTATCGCACGAAGATGGCGGTCTCTTCTTTAGGCAGGCCTTTGGCGATCTGTCTATTAATCTGTGACGGAGCATAGCACCACGTAACACCACGATATATGTATGCATATGTAAAATGTGTATAGCATTCCGAAAAACACATTCGGCACGTGTTCGTACAGATTATATATCATCGATGCCTGCACTTATTCCGATGCATCGCGTCTAGGTATTTGTTTATCGCGATCGAAGATCGCAAAATTAGATTGTTATCGCGATTCAATAATAATAATAATAATAATATTTACTTCGTAACTGTATCTGACATCCGTGTCAAACTCTGTCAGATGCAATTTATAATATCCAGGCCATACAGACATTATTTATTTGATCCAGAAATACCTTCTTTAAACTCTTCAAGAACACGATTTATCACACACTGAATAAAAAAATCTCATCTGGAAATAGAAAGCATTTTGTAATGAATGAATATGAATGTAATGTACACACATATGATGATTTTTTGTCAACAAAGAATGAAGGAAAGGACGAAATCTAATTGGTTGTGCCATCTTGTTATTAGGATACGAATGAGCAACGTGATTGGTGATTTAGTAACAATATGGCTGATACTTCAGTGTTGCCCTCAAATGTTCCTAGATTTGATCGAATGTAGTCCAATGTAAATCCGTGGTTTTGTATTTATCTGGTGGTTATCTTTTGCCATGCTCTCTCTAACCTAGTTTAAAAACAAGTTTAATTTTTCGTACGAGAAACTCTTAAAAAAAACAAGTTTAATTTTATATAAATTATTCAAGTTTTGCTCTGTGATTCCAAATATTATTTCTATATTTTGTTATTGAATTTGATATTTATAAATAATGAAAATATGATATCATGCACATTACAAGAATAACTGGGTAAAAATGTTGTTATGATTTTTATACAAGATTATGTAAATAGAATATAGAAATGTATAAAGATGATAATAGAATTGATAATAGGATTCATAATTGTATGAAGTGTATTTCTAAAGAGATTATATGTACAGTTCAAATATTATGCAAATTTACCAAGAAATTATATATTATGATAAAAACATTGAAAAATAACAAAAGTATTTTTATTTACAGTAAATGAGATGCTGAAGGAATATAAGCATTTATCTATTGAAAATTTTTCGATTAGTTTTTTGTAACAATACAGAAAAGTAAATAATTCAAAATGTTTGGTTTAGTTTTAAAGCATCCCATCATTTTTAAAGCTTTATTAACTGAAGCACAATCTACTTGTGGGATGATCCATAAGTGTTTTATATATGATAAAAATATATTTTTATCTGCATCAACTGTTAGAACATTTCTAACACAAAGCATAAGGTAAAATATAGTGAAATATTTCAATGTTAAAGTATATTTTTATGAGAATAATATACATTTGATATTTTAGTCATCGTTCTTATATTAAAAACTGTACAATAAAATTAATATTTATGTAAATATACAGGATGTTCTTGGACTAATGTTACTTCTTTACAAATGGAATAAATCACATTACAAAAAAATGCTGAATATTTTATCTATCTTTATATATATATATAATAGATAAAATGATTTAATTGTTATAAAAATTAAATTTATATGTGTATAGATAGCAAGTAGCAATAATTTCAAAAAATATCTTGTATATTTAAAATAAAGTTTGAACAAAATAGCAATTTTACTATCTTATAAAATAACAATAAGTTATAAAAATACACAGATCATTTGATGGATTAAGGCAGCCAGTAAGTTTTCTTAAACCTAACAAATCGCCACAAAGTCTGATAGTACGACATCAACAAGAAATAAAAACCATATTGGATGTGAATACAAATGTACGGAATAATGTACTTTTATATAAAAATGAAAGTAATAGACATTTTTGGAATATACGACTTTTTGCATTTGGGCAGTTATTTGGTTGGTCAATATTGGCTCTATATACTTATACACCAAAGTTCTTTGATATATTTAAAACTGATGTAAAAATTAAGGAGTTTCTACAGAAACATTTCATACGGTTTGGTACATTTGTTTTCTCAATTTTTGCAGGTAAGACATTTTTTACTTTTTTTACAGTAAAAATTTACTTTTATATGGAAACATATAATTTAAAAAGATTTAAAAAATTAGCAATATCTTATTTTAAATGCAGTTTTTGTTGTATATATTTTTATAAAATAAAGTAGATAAGTTTTTACTCTATCTTTTCTAGAATGATGTATTTGTTTTATAGGTCCTATCACATTTGGTGTTATGTATGCTACATGTTCTCGTAACATCAAGTACATTATCTTAAATAAAGGTGGCAAAACACTTTCACTTTTTACTTATCATTTATGCAAAAGAAAACTCAACACAATAACTGTACCAATAGGAATGGTAAGAATAAATTGCATTATTTAAAATTATAGATATACTATATTAATTTTTGAGATAAATTATGATAATATATTATAAGGTCAGCAATATAAAGATAAAAAACAAAATATTTTTATTTTATTTTTTTAAGGCAAAATGTACTTCACCTCGAACAGGAGTTACTGGAGTATGTATACCACTTAAAGTAAAAAACAAATCTTTTTATTACTTGATTGATAAAAGTGGCACATTTGTAAATCCGACTCTTTTTGATTATACAACAGCAAATTAGAATATTTTAACAAATACGTTTTTGTTATGTTAAAATCGTTATTTTAAATAATAGTTATAATTAATAGAGTATGATCGTGTATACAAGTACACACACATACATATGATGATATATAAAATGTGTAAAAAATGTATATGTAAATATGTATACAAATGTAAATATATATACTTTAATATACTATAAATAATCAATTAGTTTGTATAGATGTAAATGTATCGATATGTTAAATTAAGACATACTAATATTAAGAAGGTTATCTTGAAAAAAATTACTTTTTTTACAGATTATTTATTGATACAAAAGAAGTAAATTTACAATTTGTATTTTTCCAAAAGAGGAAAAAGATGTTAGTACAATGTCTATATATACAAAATTATAAGTAATATTTTATTGCACCGAGATTAGTTTTTTTATTTATCATTGGTATCCAAAATACTTTATAGAATTAAAAAAGAGGCAGAGTGAGTGAATTTTACTTCAGTTAATAGCATTCTTTATATTTTATAATCAATATCTTTGATTTTGTCTGCCATAATACTTTCCTGAATATTTGCTATATCGGTCACTATAGCCATCATCCTGATATTTGTCTTCTGCTTTATAATAAACTTCTGGTGCTGTAGAACCAACACGACCTTGCCAGTAATGGGTCCAATATAGATCTTCAGGATTGATATCATGTGGGTGTTTAGCATTTTTGAATACATGTACACAATACACAAGACTGCCAATCAGTGTTAAAAATCCAAACACCAGAAATACTATTCCTAAGATCCTAAAAAGGAATATTACATTGTGTTATAAAAAATTCTATGTACATATATATAAAACAGACACACACATGACATATATACAAACTGCTCAACTTCATTATATATAATTTTCTACATTCTTCTATTTGATTAATAATAATAGTTATTTGAAATATAAAACAAAATATAAAAACGGTTTTTATTTAATTAAAATAATTATATTTATTAATTTTAATATAGAATCTTACATATAAATCATGTGAAAATATAAAAACAGTACTCTTACCAAACAACTAATGGTTGGAAGAATTGTATGACAATGACAAAGCCCAGAGTAACCAGGATCAAGCCGAGATTAAGAAGTAACATAAGGCAACAAACACCTTTGGTGTTTGGGCAGAAAGGATTGGGTGTCGACATAGTTTCCACAACTATACCACCTTTCCGTGATGTACGAGTTTTCACTGTCGAAGTGCCTGATCTGCCGGAACCATAGCTGTAGTGACTAGGCGCTCTGTGATCCAATCTGGAGCTTGGTGCTAAACTATGGCGTGATATCCGACTGCATATAACAAGGTACATTTTTACATTGTTTATATTATTTAATATATCATATATTCAAATTGGAGAACAACCTTATGTCGGAAGTGGCTCTATATGCAGCACTGGTGACATATATATCTGAACCATTGTCACAAATGCTGCCGTGTGAGGCACTTTTGCTAAGCTGATGTAAACTATGTTTCGAAGATCCAGACAATACTGAATCGCGAGTATTGTGCGCGCTTCTGGATCTTCTGTCTTCTCTATCATATTTGTCTGCGTGATTTTTTTTTATTGGTTTTACCTGAAAAAAATTGAAATTATAGAGATAATATATGATGTATTTATTAGGATCACAAATATGTAATATGTTTTAAATTGAGAAAAAATATTTTTTGCTATAAATATCTTACTATGGTAGTATGTTCGTTGGCAACGATATACTCAGACACGGTGCGATCTGAAGGAGCTCTATGACTCTCTTCACCATCTGTAATATAATCACGATTTGTGTTAATGTGATAACCAGCATATCTAGAATTATGCATTTTGATGTCTATGTCAATGCACTCGTATAAGAATATTAAAGATAAATATATGATTGATCAGTCAACATTCGCGTTTAGAGCTCATCTAAAACAGAAATACATTTATTTATATATGTCAATGATTTATTAGAAATTATAATTATTGAACAATAAGGAATAAAATATTATGCTTACTGTGAGCATGCAATATATGATAAAAAGTATTTTCTCTAATATGTATATTGCATTTTAAAAAAGATTGATTCATACGCGTCATTTATGCTGCATCAATCTACAACAAAAATACTTTATAATGTTACTGCAAAAGAAATCAAAGTTATATTCAAAATTATAATTTCAAAAGAATTTTTATATATCAGAGTATTTATGTGTCGCTAGTGAAGAATAAATTAAGAAATTATTATAACGACTCAACTGGCTTTAATCTTCTTTATTAATCAACACTTCATAAAAATATAATCAGACTACGTTTCGACCTTTGGTTTAAGTCCTTTTCAAGTCTCAAAATTTAAAAAACTAAAACTTTCACATAATAATTCTTTGTGTACAAAGAAAGTCAACTGAACTTTCCATAAGAGTGGTAAGGAACAACTTAGTTCGTTCCTTACCACTCTTACGGAAAGTTCAGTTGACTTTCTTTGTACACAAAGAATTATTATGTGAAAGTTTTAGTTTTTTAAATTTTGAGACTTGAAAAGGACCTAAACCAAAGGTCGAAACGTAGTCTGATTATATTTTTATAAAGTGTTGATTAATAAAGAAGATTGAAGCTAGTTGGGTCGTTATAATAATTTCTTAATTTTTATATATCTTCATTTTTATAATTTCGTTCATTTAGCAATATTTGATTTCAACATCTTTTTTAAAAATGCCAGTATAATTATAATTCTTTCTACACAATTAATGAATACAGATTTATTAGGTGTGGCATATATTCCTTTAAGTATACTGCCCGCGCATATATTGATTATAAAACATTGCTTTATCATTGGATTGTCTCTCAATCGTAGGCAGTGCTAGCAACGCATACACCTTGTTGGGCAAATCCTTATTTAGTACGATGATGTCATTTGGCAAGGACATTTGTGCAACATCTTCGATCGACAATGCGCGCGGCAATACCCTTCGCCTCCGATTATTCTTCGCGACTCTTTCAAGGTAATACTTTATCAATCGTTTTTCGCAATAAATTATCATATTTTTAATTACATCCTTATTAATTAAGTGCACACATTTATAAAATCATTCTTTTTATCATAAAAAAAAATCATAATCTCATTTTTAAAAAGTAACTACAAAAATTGATTTATAATTGTAACATGTTACGATACAATATATAATCGAATTTAATACAGATTTTTTATACGAATTTAATATCTAATATTTTATAAAGAAATGCTTTGAGCTCTATAAAAATAGATATATGAATTGCAAGAAATTTAGTTCTCCGAAATTTTCCAAATCAAAAATTAATTTTAATATTTTTTTTTTTTTTACTAAATATGTTTAAGCATTATTAATATTCTTTTTAGTTTCTTTCCTAAAGCAAGACGATTGATAAAGAAATTAATCCCTATTAATTCTCTTTAATTTGCTTGTGTTTCATATAAAAAAAATTCGCAGTGGATGATTTTAATACTTAATAGATTGTAGTCTGAAATGCTAAATGTATTTATTCTTCTCAACTAACCGGTTATTAAATTCCTGCTCTTTGCGCGTTATAATCTCATGTCGCTTTTAAATATAAACTTATATTCTCTACACATAACGAAGCGCGCAGGCGCCACAAATCCAATGCAACCTGTGCGCGCAATATTTCTTTCCTTAATGCTGAGAGATCCCCGAGAAAAAAACCATTAATGAAAAAATATCGCGCCAAGCTCTTCGTGCGTATAGTTTTGTGTAACATCAGATCGCTGATCGCTGATCACTGATCGTTGATCAAGCGCGAATACCAAGATTCCATTCCGATGTATTTGTACCAGCTCTTCGAGAAGAGACCGGTTGCTGTACCTTGTCATTCGCTTTTTGGAGAGAGATTATCTTCCTTATTCTATCGATCCTTATCCGCGGATGATTCCTCTTCTCGTGGAAACACGCTGGTCGAATCTGGATCCTCGCGATGACATATCGATGATCGCTCGGTTTTACACGAGAGTATTATTCACAGCCTCTGGTTCATATCTCATGCTTATTCTCTCTTTTCCTTCTCAAAATTGCTCGTATGTACACACTTGTTCGAAGAGCACTCGCGACTCGCGACGACGATTCCAGCGTCGTTCGCGCGGACCAGCAGCGTCGCGCATCGCGCGTTCTCCTCTCAGACGAGCTGATTCGATCAGATGAGTCAAATCTCAGAGATGCAAAATCGTCACAAAGTCTTGGATCTTCTCAGCTCTCGTCTCCGCTCCTGTCTCCGCTCACACCGTTGGAATCACTGGAACGGTTGCTGCTCCAACTCATGAGCGAAAGGCGCATTCATCGTACGGTTTTCCACCACGCTTCTGCAACACCTTTAAAAGGCGAGCTCAGGTGTATACTGTGCTTAGCGCACTTCTTACATTCTCCGCCCGCGATTGCTCTCGATCGTCCCGCCCGTCTGCGATTTGTTCTCCCACTCTTTCTCGTCTCCTCCTGCATAAATTAAATAATATGAGAAAAACTGAATTGCAACAGAATTTTTATTTCGAAATATTATTTCAGAATTTTATAGCATTTAAATGCGTAATATAAAAGTACAGATTATGCTGCTAAAGTGATATTTTAATTGAATAAATAAAACTGGAATTTTAATATTGAGTTAATGTATCTTTTTTTATGTAAATGTGTGTATCCCAGCAAAAAGTCAAGACGTCTTTAAGCTTTCTTTTAAAGACGTGCTATTTTATTAAATATTTTTGTGTTTAGAAGAATATATATAGCTTGTCTTTAGTACAAATAATATACATATGAAATGAAAATAAGATAAAAAATAACCGAACATTTTTGCATAATCAATTGTGTGTTTAGTTTTTGTGTTTTCTAAAAAAATGAGAATTATATTTTTTCTACAATAATTTAATTAAAAAATATAAGAATTCATGAGAAAATTCATATAAATTCATATATATATATATAGTTTCTTTTTTATAATATCTGTACATTTAGGAAAAATAATAAGAATAAAAAAATAATTTAAAAAATAATATTTGCACTTTTTTTAAGTTAGATTTGAAGAAATTAGAAAAGATTGTCTACATATAATTATACATATATATAACAAATTTTTCTTATTTCTATAAATTATATCTTTTTAATTATTTTTTAATTATTCTTTTTCCTGTTTATAAGAACATATATAGATTATACAATATAAGAGGCAAATGAAACATATATATATATATATATATATATATATATATATATAAACATCACATATTTCATATATAATTCTATATATATTTGTATAGTTTATACATGTGATCATATGTATATACATATAGATATTTTTCTCCAAGAAGTCCTAATATCTTAATTATTCCCGAAATTAGAAATATAATTAGACTTAATGGGTGCATTCGTTTATGCAGTGACTGCCGCAGAATGCCGCAAATGTCGTTCGTTTACTCCACCTGCGCAACCGACTGCAGCGCAGTTTGTTGTTCGTTTAAGCAGAGCTGCTGCCTATCTGCGCAGCCATCTCGGAGGTCCTGCTTAGGATGCCTTGCTCGCAGTACTGCGGACTACTGCGTAAACGAATGTAGTCTTCTCCATTGTTAAGCCAATTGAACTTGGAAACGTTGCCTGAAAATTATTTCAATTATGAGGTATGTTATAAAAGTTCAGAACAAAGAAGGTGGAGAATAACTCCTCCAAACCCAGGGAGAAATGGCATGTTGAAAAGACGTCGAATCGATGTCTTTTATATGCGTCTAAGTAAGATCTAATTTGACGTCTATATAGACGGACAAATCTTTGAATTTCGACACCATCTAGACGTTAATATAAACGTCTATAAAATGTCTAATAGACATCTAAATAATTGATGTAACGGCTGTATTCAGCAGAAAAAGTAGCGTTGCAAATGTTGTAAAATTGATGAATCTAATAATGGCGTATAATTGGCGTATGCTTTTAGTTTTGACTAAACCTAAGCTCATACAATACTCAAATTCAATAATTTTACAACAGACACTTCTACTTTCTCTGCTGCGAACGCAGGCAATAAGTGCAGTATTACGTACACCATTCAGTGAACATTTTATTTTAATTCTAAGTATATTTTTATTGTAAAATATAGAATAATGTAATATTCTAATCAAAACAAATTGCTCAGTAAATATTCATTGAATTGTAATATTGGATGCATGCAAATATATTTTCTTTAGAAAATTTACATTACCTTTTTAATTTACGAATGAAAAAAATAGAACCAACACTAAAATTATTTGGATCTTGGTATTTAGATTGTTATACATATATTTATATAATTGAAACTGAAAGGATGGAAAAGACACTTTAGAAAATAATTTTATATGTATTATTAACCTTATATCTATTTTTTATTAATATGTATTGGACAATTTCAATACAGGATAATCTTTGTTGACATACTGAAAACTCCAGTATATGCCATCTTATCGTGTCTTGATATATATATATTATAAATATATATATTTTATATATGTATATATATATACATTCTTTATTAGTGTACATATATATTCTACATATACATACTTCAACTAAAAACTTTTATATGTAATAATTCAAATCAAATTTAAACCTGACAATGTCTTATCAGTTACATAAATAAAAAATAAGACAAATAATATTCAAAATAAAGCAGCAATATCAAAAATACAATAACAAAATAAAAATGACATAAGACTTCGCAAATTGCACATGAATAGAGATCATATTTCACATTCAAGAAAAAAAAATAATTAATTGCATTTTATGACGAATATTAAATGACCTCTTCCCTTTTAATGGGAAACCTCCCCCGTGCTAATTTGTATCGAGAAAAAGACCTTGTAAAGAGTCGTCTAAGAATAATAAGATATCACAACGCAATATTCTCGTATGCGAGCACTTTTTACCTCTGCTTTTCTTATACATTAGATTCTGTTAAAAATAAAAAAAATGAAATTGCACATTTTATTGCTTACGCCCAGCAGCGTTTCGTAGCCAATTTCTGACTGCATTTAAGGCATCTTCCAAATCACTGGTAGGAAATTTTAATAGCATAACTCCTAGAAAAAAAAGAAATATTTATGAATTTTTTCTACAATAAACTTAAGATGAAACAAAATATTGAAAAGAAGATAAAATACCTTGAAATAATTCCCATAGTTTCAGTTTCTTAAATGGCCTTTTATTAACTTTAGCCTTTTGAGGATTATGACCATCAAAGTTGAATTGTTTCGCTAAGGAATTAGTCATCAATTTGGTCATAAGTCTTGATGCTACAATTTTTTCATTATCACCTAACGGTTTTGTAGCTTTTAGGTAAGATGGGAAACAATACTCTCAATCTACGAAGTAAATCATTTAACTTCTTCATAGATAACACACCTCCTTCAAGGGCCCACTCCCTCAATGTTTTTAAAACATAGCGTCCTCTCTGTTCGTCATTTTCAAATTCAATCATTAAATCATCATTTTCTTCATCGTTACTATATCTGTTAGCATCATTAATTTCAACACTTCCTTCGCTGTCATTATTCTCATCTTCAAAATGTAATTCACTGTCATTGTCATTATTATAATTATTGTTATCATCCATATTTTCATTTTCAAGTTGATCGATAGATGCATCAGATTCTGTTGATACTTCAGAATTTGTTTCTAATAAAGAAATATCTTCAATCCCTGGAATGGGCAGCATTTCATTATTCTCTTCATCGGATGAAACCTTTTCATTGGATGAAACCTCTTCATCGGATGAAACCTCTTCATCGGATGAAGCCTCTGTCTTGTAGACAGTAGTAATTCGATTTCTTAAATCGTCCAATTTTCTTTGATTCCTACATTGCCTAACTAATTCATTAATTATTTGCTTGTTCGTATTTCTACGACGATTCCTACTTTCCTATGATAGATGTAAAAATAATACAAGAACAACATCAGTACTAAAATATATTGCTTATACTGCATTCACAATAATGTTATGTAATAAATTTTGATAATAAACTTTAAATAAATAATAGCAAAAAAGAAGCAATAGTGACAATATTATTATTAATAATTCCGTATATGTTGAGGTTAGTTAAAGAGTGAGTTAAAGAAAAGTGTATATATAAGAGCATACAATATTTTTAATTAAATAAATCAAAATAATTTATTAATATATATATAAATTATGAACTATTTATATGAAAATTGTAATTTATTTATGAAACAATTATAACCTACAGACGACTTGAGGCACAAAAGTAAAAAGTAGATTATTAAGAAATTATAAATTATGAAGCACTTACCGGTGGACTTTCACTCATTTTTGTTGGTGATGACTTCTTTATTAGAATAGCAATCGATCCAGCAGACTTATTCTGTAACTTTTAACGCATGCGTTATAACTATAATTCATTTGTTAACCATGAATTCGTCGACGATACGACGACTAACGCATGCGTTACAGTTATAACGCATTTGTTAAAAGTTACAGAATAGGCCTCCAGAAGAACAAATATTATCACAAGCACAGTTCAACATTCAACGAACTTCAACGAATGATCATCGATCACGGAACAATAACAGAATGAGTTCGTTAACTCGTTGCGTTAAGTTGGTACTATATTTAGTCGCAAGGCGGTGTCGCAACTCGCAACTTATCTTTTATACGACAGTTAAATCAAAATAAGCGTTATCGAACCAATCATTTAAATAATTAAAGTTATATTTTCATATAAAGTTTCCTCATACATAATTAGTAAATATATATATATAATATATATATAATAATTAATTTACCTTTATTTTTATAATTAATTAATATATTACACACACAAAGAGAAATTATACAACACAAATAAAAAAAAATATATATATATATATATGGATCACATATATATTTTATATATAAATTTTAATATATGTTTTTTTACATGAAAGTATTTTATTATGGATTAAAATGAAATGTTTATTGATGTCTGGCCTGATTGTTTTAGCAAATAATATCGACGTCTAGTCGACGTCTAATTTGAACTGAAAAAGTTATAGACGTTATTTACGTCTAATCGACGTCGATCCGATTTCTTGTTTCTCCCTGGGTAATAGATCCTACAAAACTAAAAGTAATGCAAGGTAGTAATACAATAAATTATGAAAGTCTGTTAATTTATATTTAACAATCCAATTAACTTAAAAATGCACTTTTATCAA